ATATAATACACACATACATATATACAATTGTTTCTAGATATATACAACATTAAGTTCTATATATTTTCCTTTGTGATCTCCAATCAAAACCCTAGGTACTTATAAGCAGGAAGGCCCCCCCCCCCTCCATCTTGATAAAAATCCTAGTTTATTCAATGAATCTATTAAATATTCTTTTAACTTTTTTTTTCTTTTTCGATGATTTGTTTTACCATGATTATAACTGAACCATTTTCAAATGAAATGCACTGGAAAAATCACTTACCATAAAACAGCACACAATTGTTTTGCATAATTTACTTAACATTGTTATAATGACCAAGAGTAAAACCAAATTCCCCTCCTTTATATATGATAACGAAAAGTTCCTTACCCTTAACAGCCGTCAGTGGAGTTACCTGGTTATACCTAGATTAATCCGCCAATGAAATAAAGAGGAGGGATTAAGTTATTATTAAGTTATTATGAAGTTATTGGTGTGCTTACCATTTGACATACTCGTAATCACATCACTGAACATAACATATTGATATGGAAGCTTTAGGACCGCGATAAAGCTTAAATTGTGGATTACTGAGCAGTCTTTTCGTCACCCTTCTCGGTACCGGCGAGGATTGAAGCAATATTTTTTCTTGTTGTCTTCTTTCTTTCTTTCTTTCTTTTACGAGACACGTCGTGGATAAAATCGCTAAAGACTGATATTGTGCAGGTTAAGTTTACATTCCCCCCTTGCTTCCTAACTCCCCACGATTCTGCTGTGGATATATAATAGCGTTTTTTTGTTGTTTTTTTTTTAACAAAAGCTATATGGAGTATTCCTGTCGCGAGAATAATCATGAAAACTTACTTTGAAGTTTCCCCATAACAATTTTAGTGTCTGCGGACTCCACGGAAAGATTGCAACGCGGCTGAATTATTTACACTCGTAAGTTTCAGTCGTGTTGAATCAGAGAACAGCATGGACAAGTATCGTTTGAAACGCCGACCCAACATAGACATTAGAGTGATAAAGGGAAAGAAGCATGCGCAGACCTACATGGCATATGGTATCCTACAGCAATGCAGAGGTGAAAAAGAACAACAAAGACAGAGAACAAAAGCAAGAACTGATGACGGTAAAAAAAAAAAAAAAAAATGCTAGTACTGTGGCGGTTGCATTTTAGATTTGCCCGTAGATGTTACGTTATCACTATGTCAAGCGGTGCACCGTTACCATGGAAACCGAGTTATTCGCGTACCGTAGAGGTGCGGATACGAACGTTGGCCTAGAAGTCCGCTTAATATTTTATTAGACGATTTTTTTTTTCTTTTTTTTTTACTTTTTCTGTTTCTGTAATTTCCATGACAATGTATTTAAAGCAATTGAAATGAACTCCAAACGAAAGGAGATAAAAGGAGATTATGGGCAATAAACGTTTTTGTATAATGACGTTATAAAATCTACCTTACATCCATTGGCCTTCCTATTCTTCTTCATGCATTGATACCATAATTATATTGTCTAGTCATTCCCGTAAAACACAAAATGTGGAAGTTATTATAATCAATATATTGTAAGTGAATGTAGATATATATGTAGGCCTACAGGTGAGCGGATGTATTTTTTCGTCTTTTCTGGTACTCTTTCGAAAAAAAAATGTAACATTTTGCACACTCCAAAATGGACAACACTGCAGTAAACGATAACTAAATTATAGGGAAATATGTATAATTGATAATAAAGTATTTTTTACATAAATTTGGTCAAGCGTTCGGCAGGGAATTTCAAGATATTAACAATCTTCCATCACGATTTTTGTTTGTCCCTTAATGCTCCATCAGGTGAATTTTATTTAATCGTTCTATGTAGCAATTACTTATTGTATCTTAAATCATAATGATTAAAAAGACGTGCCAAATTCAGGACAGTGTTCTAATACGTTTAAAATTAGTTTTCTCAATAAACATTAGGTGCCATGTCACATACGTTTAATTTAATATATAAATAAATTATGAATATATTGATAAGATCATAGCATTAAGTGGGCGGAATAAGCATCAAAACATATTTCAGACTATTGTCCGAAAGGTTATGAAACAGAAATATATTGCACAAGTATTCGCTTATATCCTTCATTGCAAAGATTAAATTTTTGTTTCTCCGACATTAGAAACTACACGTACCTGCCATTACAATTCATATCCAAATCTGATTATTGTCAGTGTTGGGTTCAGGTTTACGAATGATTCAAAATTTAGTCCAGGAGTTTGGGCGGATTAGCTTGTTTGTTTGCATTTTCTTTAACAGGGTCAGCACATTTACATCGCCTTAATTCGCTTTCGTGGTGTTCCTTTTGCTAAATGGTTCAGCATGGGTACCCCGCCTGGCCTGCGCTCACCCTCGACTGAGGACACGTGACTTATGTTTTTACTTTCGCCCTCAGGGAAGTTCTTCGGCGCCAGTGGCATCTTACTGACGTTGCTGTTTTTTTTCTTCTTAGTTTTCGGCAAAGACTACATA